TGCTCCATGTGGAGGCGTCAAATAAAAGTATCCAGCCGCGCTTCAACCTTTCAGATGGCCGTACGGGGTTCTCAAGTGCTGCGCCCGTCACGCAAAAAATTGAATCTCTAAAATAATCGTGCAAACAAAGAGCCAACTAAACCCACCGCGCTGTGGCGAGAACACAATTTTGGTGTTGCGGGCCAGACGGTTTAGTACCCTACTAAACGCTCCGCGCTGTGGCGTGAGATCCATTTTGGCCGGTCAGCTCACATTCTAAGAAAGATTTTTTTAAGTAAGGTTTTTTTATCGAATTGAACCAACTATACGCTATACGCTGGCCATGTTTTTCCGCAAATTTCCACGGTTTTCAGGGTATAGTAGTCCAAGTTCATCAACTATACGCTCCGCGCTGTGGGAAAACGCACATCCTAGCTTGGCGGCTGCTGGGGTGCTTTTAGCAACCGCTGGCGGCGCTTTGCTGCCGATTTCTGTTCTGTCTTGTTCTCCGCGATGGTCTCAAGAGGGCCAACATCAGAAAACAGTGACGAATTGCATCTGCAAGCCAAAGCAACACAGTTGAGATGCCTGTCGCAACGCTTTGCGCTGCTGCTTGAAGTGGTTCAGCTCGCGCACCAGAACCTGCAATAGATTTCTCCACCATAAAGGACTCGGAACCTGCTGCTGCCAAAACCTTCCCCCATGTAAGTAGCAAGAAGCGGCCGCAAGATTGAGCAAAATGAGGTTCCAAAACCAGGGCCCCAAAACAGGCAGTTTTGCGGTGACGCATGGGCGTACCCCCATAGTATATAGATTCGAGTCCCCGTGAGCCTCGCTTTGTCCTCGTGCCTCGGGCAGGCCTCGGTAAGCCTTGGAGCGCCTCGAATGCCAACAAACCTGCTTCATCATGGCCCCTAAAACAGGGCCCAAAAAAGTGGTCAAAACATGGCTGCGATAAAGGGACCTTGACAGTACATTTTTTTTCTGTCCATCGCCTATCAGCTTTCGCCAGGTCGATCAGTATTGCATGCTGCATTCTGCCCATTAGAGCAGTTGTAAATTATGCCATCTTGATGAATCAGAGGTCGTGCTATTGGAGGACCCATGCACGGACCTATGTCGTCATCACGTGTCGAAAGAAAAACAGAAAACAACCAGGCATAAGGATTGGCTGCAGTCCTGGAAGGCAGTCACAATGCCAAAACAAATACGATGGCCTCAAAAGCCAAAATATAGGATGAAACAGGTTGGAGACCAAGTCTCGAACTCCAGTGTCGCGAGAACATAGAAATGAAACAAAATACCTCGAGGCAGAACCTCAACTTTTGGACCGTAGACGGTTTTTTTTCGTCTGTTGCGGCCGATCTCGCTCTGTGGCTCGGTCCTGACAGTGAGAGAAGCGGTAGAAAAGTGTGCAAAAAGTAAAACACTTGGCTTCACAAGCGAGGCAAATTATGGAAAAATTAACACAATGAGCAGAAACACGCCAACAGCGACGACACGCAAATCTCCCGTATTCCGAGTTTGTTCGTTGCACATATGAAAACATAGCATGCAAGAGTACTGGCAGCAACGCGCTTCTCTTGAGTCTTTTCCCGGCGGGTTCATACTTGCTTATGTTGCTGGAAGCGTAGCACAGACCTCAATGTTTGAGAGAGAATGGCATGTCCATGGTGTCTCATAGCCAGCTACTGCGTCAGCAGTCTGGCCGCTGGCTTTAGATTTCATCTTTACTCGATGCGTATCCCCTTGCCCCAGGAATTTTAATATTGGATTTTTCACGTTTATGTTTGTATCAACATTGGAATTGGGGGGAAGGGGAACTCATTGCAGCTAGTTGATTGCTTGAGGTGTTTCTTGTTGTTGCGGAGTTTGCGGGTTTTCGCGCAGGTCTATTTGGATGATTGTATTGAATACTTTCCTGCCCCTTGTTGGCCCCCCTTGCCCCCTCTAGACTCCTACCGAAGTTTTCAGCCCGGACAGAAGATGAATCATGATCTTTCAGTCAATCCCGTTATTAATTTTATAGTATAAATGAAAAACGGGATGGAGTAAGAATCTGCTTAGGAAAGATGTGGGAAGGTGAAGTATTGAAGGCTTTCTTACTCCGTTATCGTTTCGATATCGTGTCAATTACATTGAGTAATTGAATTAAAACATAGCACGGAGTAGCGGAGCAGCGCGGAGCAGCGCGGAAGGATTGGTGTTTACATCTGGAGGAAGAATTTTTTTTCCCCTTCAGCGTCTTATAAGCATCATGATCTTGAGCTGCAGATCAATTCTCCTCATTTCGCGTGGCCTGCGTGGCGGATCGTATTTCAAGCCGGAATAAAGCAAATTTTGTTTAAAGCAAAGCAGCTGATCCGCGACCGCCATGTGATTCATATGACACCTGTCAGGAACTTTGCGGAGACGAAGACACTCTGGAAGCACCTGAGCAGTTCTGCAAACAGTTTTCAGGTTTGTGCCGGCGAGGCAATGCAGTCTTGTTTGATATTGAGACGTGGCCTGCTGCAAGCACTTCGCTAGGCACCTCAACGGGGTGCTGACCCCGCTTTACAGTGCCTGAACGGTCCCTTTTCTGTTCACTTGGCACGGTAGCAATGTCCACCTGGAGGTGCACAAGTTTTAGTGGTTAGTGACGGATGGTCTTTCACCTTGCTTTGTGAGACCGCGTTATCATTGCCACTGGGCCGCTCCCCGCCATGGGGAGGGGCACAAGACACTTGGCCACACATGTTACCGTGCTCCTGCGGATGCGTACGCCATCTGGTACCTTGTATTTCTCTGAATTTGGGCACGTGAACAAGTACTTGTGAGTGGACTCTGAGAGGCTTTTAGCTTACAGTGAAGAGTAAACGCGACTATTTGTGGTCTATCTGGCAGCCACGCAGTCGCATGTCTCACAACTCTGGATGTTTTAATTCGTTTGCTGCATGTTTTTGTTCTCTTGTGTGACACAGTGGGTTTCTACTGCTGTGTCCTTGGCAAATCTTTTGTGGTTTTTTCTTGTTGGGCTCTGGCCCCTTTGGCTGTTTGCTTTGCTGTCTTTCTAACGGTGAGACGCAAATCTGGCTGGGGGATCTGCGTCTTGCCCTGGTTTTGCTGGTTGTTGTTTTTGGTTTGTTTGATTTGCCAAGCTTCATGTGACCACCAGCGTCCATGTCGCAGTTTTCTTACCAATTGCCTAGTCTCATATAAGGACCGAGCCTTAGAGCGTGATCGGCCACACCGGAGGAAAAAAAAATCATATGACACCTGTCAGGAGTCTAAGGGGAGAGGGTTGCTGTAGCTAGCCAAGAGGAAAAACTTTTACCCTGTTGTATGTTGCCTGGGTCGTGCTGCATCGCAATACATTGGAGCCAGTGAACGGAGACAGCTGATACCGCATGTGCGCTTTCAGGTTCCATTTTTGGGGCCGGAAAATCAATTGAAATCAGGCTTCGCATGTGCGGGCCTCCTCTGATCCAAATCTATATGCTTTTTGCTTAAATAAACGCAGTTGTAATTTTTGTTTGACGGGTCGGCCTTTGCTGTTGATTTTGCGATTTTGCGGTCTCATTTTTGATACCGCCAGACGGTCCCAAAAATGGGACCGTGAAAATGTTTTTCTTTTGTTTTTTACTAAGCTGTGCATGCGGTCCCAAAAATGGGACCGCCAGGCGGTCCCATGTTAAGTTTCATTTTTATAAAGTTTTTTGCATCAGGGTTGAAGAAGCGCAATGTTTAATGTACTTGTTCATTGTGTTTTGCAAGGAACTTCTTTGTGTTTCTATTCCATTTTGGCTCAAGGACTTTCATTTGTGCGTATACATTTTTCGTTTTTGTCTGCTCAGCCAACAGTTTTCTTTGGACATCTGTAGCAGGCATTGACATTGATCAGTTGCGTTTTTCCTATCGTGCAGATATTTTCAGAGTTTCATGTTTTTTCGTTTTGGATTCACAGACACCGGGCGGTCCCGGGCGGCATGGACGGAGCGACGGTCTCGGTGTTATCACTAGAACAGTTGATTACTGCACTTCTCCTCATTGTCAACGAGTTGTGCCATCGATTTCGTATCCCTTTATCTTCAGCATCATCTGTACCATTACAAACTACACCTGATTTGGAAAATCTTTCAGGGTCACCCATCCCCGAACGTGGATCGTGTGGTGCAAAGTGTCGCTGGTGTGATTTACCCTGTGGACGTGCAAAGCCTGGTCATACAGGGCATAGTTGCTATACACATCGGCATTGGCGTGATGGATAATTCCATGGATGGTTGGTCACTGGTACAGAGTGTTGAGGGTTCATGGGACACGAGTTCAGTGATTTCACCGCCGTTGCATTCCAGGCCGAAGTCTGCTCCATTGCAGCGTGCACCTCTACATCAAGGTCCTCGCCTGGTGTCTCCATTCCAAGTGTCTGCATTGCATCCGGTGGTCACGAGCACTATGGGGTGTTCGGGACAGTCTTCAGCTCAGCGACATCCAGGTATCCTGAGGGTTTCAGATTTAAACCAGGGGGGTAATGTCCCCCCCCCCATCCGTTTCCTGTTGATTCTATTCGCGTTGTACCTGGGGTTACTCCTTTGCAAATTCCCCCAGAAAATTTACCTGTGATTCGGAGCTGGACGACGTTGCAACAGAGAGTTGCGCTACCTCAGCCTCAAGGATGTTTGGGTTATTCAGAGTCAGTACCAGTTGATTTTGTGCCTAATAGGCCTTCTCCACAGTTACTGCATCCTCCCAGACGTCAATCAGGGGCTATTAGCAGAGTTCGTTTTTCCAGTGCTTCACCGGTGCTCTGTCAGATGTGGTTTGAATTGTTATCACAGCTGGGCCCACTATCCAGAATTTGGCAAGAGACGAGTATGTCACAGCATCAACGCATGCATTTGAACCGAATTTTGGACAATGTGGCACCTGGCACGGCTATGAAGTATATTTCCAGTTGCAAGTCCTTTTTCAAGACCTGCAAAGCGTTACAGGTGGATTTGATATCCCTTACTGAGGTTCAATTGGCAGACATTTTAATCACAATGTCACTGTCTAGATCTACATCTCATGGCAGTAGTTCTTGCAGTTCGGTCATCAAAGCGCTTCGATGGCTATTGAAATCAGCAGAGGTGGGTTGTTTACAGGTGGTGCATTCAGTTCTTATTGGAACCTTTCTGAACCAGAAGGTGCCCAGGGACAGGAAACAAGCCCCTCCTCTGCCTCTGTGGGCATTGGTGCAGTGGGAGCGTCGTGTGCTCATGTCCAACTGCACGGTATTGGAAACTATTTTACTGGGTACATTTTTATTGATGGCCTGGGGATCCCTTCGTTTCTCCGACGCGCAAAGGTTAGACCTCCAAAAGATCATCTATCACGATGGTACCATGAGAGGGGTGATATGGCGCTCAAAGACAGCAGTCAGCGGCATGCCCCTAGCAGTGGCGGCGGAGGGTTTCCTCAGCAAAGGCTCCCACAACTGGTTGTGGAAGTTTTTGACCGTTTTGGATACGGTATTGGCCAAATCAGGCCTCTCTGATGTTGATTTTCTTCTTCCACTGATGGACGAGGATGGACCAATTTATCCATTGCAACCGATGGATTATGCCACAGCGTTATTTTACTTACGGAAATTTTTGGGTTGCCCATGGAGTCAAAGACCAGATCCCTTGCAGCATTTGAAATTAAACTTCACTTTGCACTCCCTCAAAGCGACGTTATTGTCGTGGGGACCGCAGCTGCATGAAAAGGTCACCCCGGAACAGCGTTTGTCTCAGGGACACCATTCGGATCCCAATAGCAGTTTGGACACATACTCACGTGACGTGGTGTGGACGTCCTTGACGTATCAGCGCAAGATGATACAAGAGGTTCAGAGTGGATGGCGTCCAGCCATTGCCCAACATCGGGGTAGTCAGGCTCCTATGGTCGAACCCAAGGTTGTTTTGGAGAAATTTGTCAAATCTCTCCCGCAGTTTAATTTTCAGTGGTTTCAATTCAATGCGTCCTCTGAGACACCAGCTCCAGATTTTTTGGAGTCATCGACCAGCAGTTCTGAGAGTTCATCGGATTCATCGTCGGATGACGAGGTTATGGAGCCTCGACCCAAGACTTCCAAGGTGAACGTGGTACCTTTGGATGTCGATGAAGTCCTGGTGGGACGATATCGATCAGTTGTGCATGCACTAGTGCGCGCCGGCGATGATGAAGATTGGCGTCCTAGGTGGCAAGGACAGCCTCTCAAACCTGCCTGTGGTAGGCAAATGCGTGGTGTGGAAGCCGAGATCTTGGATAGACTCGACTCGACTATGCCGTTCTGCCAGCATGCAGCATGCAGGAAGGTTTGGCACACTTGTCAGCTCCTGCAAGGATCTGGATAGATCCCATTCCAAGCGGTATGAAAAATTTTGCGCTTGGAGTTTTTGGCCCACGGGTCGGTGACCTGTTGGGTGCAGTCGGTCTTTCCCTGGTAGGGTTAACCGAGTAAGTCCATATTGGGCATTTTTTGCGTTATTTTCCCCTCTTTTTACTTAGGGAGGGATTCAGATTCTTGTACAATAGGGGATGGTATCCCCTAACATGTCAACGGTGTTGGCATCACATTTCAACCGGTGGTTGAATGGTTACTCACGGTGTGAGTTGAAATGACAGGTTGTCATGTTATATTCAACCGGTGGTTGACTATGGACTCACGGTGTGAGTACCACAATGACCGGTGGTCATTCAGCGTCTCAACCGGTGGTTGAGGTTATTAGCTCACGGTGTGAGTCTTACTTTGACCGGTGGTCAATTCATCATTTTTCAACCGGTGGTTGAAGCAGCACTCACGGTGTGAGTGACGTGCTATATCGTCATGGTTGCCGTCGGTGATGGCTCGAGTGAACCCGGTGGGTCAACAATCAGTTGTGCAACAACATGCACTTATTTTAGGGGTTGCACTATGGAGTATCCACCCCTTTCATGGTTGGTCTAACGTCCAATGGCGCTGTCAAGATTTTATTTTGCAAGTTTTTGCTTTTCCCCTCAACATAAGGGATCCTGTTTGTGGTTCGGGGATCATCAGATATTTTCTCCTTTGTCTACGTGGTGGTGCCATGGCGTCTGACAATTTGGAAGATGTTTTGATACAGAGTGGGGTGGACTCGGCCCTCACGAGCTCACTTATGATGGAGGGATGGTCCTGTCAATCGTTTCGCATGGCAGCAGCTGACATTCATGGATTTGAAGATGTTCTCCAGGAATGGTCGTCTTCTACTCCTTTGTCGGCATTCCAAAAGGCGTGCCTCCGTACGGCATTTCAGTCTCTCCAACCTCAACAAGGACCTAGTGCATCGGCTGTGTCAACCCCAACATTGAGCACTACCACGCCAGCCGGGTCTTGGGCAGAAGCCTTTCCTCCCAAATTGGAGAATGCCGTGTTGCAGGCGATGAAACAAAAATTCATGGCCAACTATCCATCGGAGTTGATCCATGCAGACCTTTTTCCATCGACCAGATTAGTGAGCTTGGTTCATGACCAGCTCTCCAAGAAGGTTTGGAAATGGGTGCCATGGAAGTATCGCATCTCTCTCACCAGGTCAGAGGAGATTTCTAGCAATCGAGCTCAGAAGATGCCAAAAATTGATCACCTGGGGTTACACTCCTTATTATTTGATGATCCTCCCTCCATCGACGTGTCCAACAACGCCATGGGGGTGAACTCGATTCGCAATATGCTCGAGGTTCATGATCGGGCCATTGCCTTGTGCCAAGGCGCTCACCTCGCCAATCTCAAGGCCTATACCCACAAATTCATCGGGTTTTTGACCGCCAAGTATGATGGAGATTTACGTAACCCCAGTGTATTGGAGGCTCAACATGCAGACCAAAAAATTTGGACGGTCATTGCCGAGCTCATGGAACGAGGATGGAACATGGATGATTGCTTGCATGAAATGACGAATTTACGTCATGACCTACCAAGTCTCCTTCAACCACGACCTCGCGTGTTCAAGCCACTCCCATCACCATCTTCTCAGACAGCTTCCCCTCGTGGTGATGGACCGAAAGGTAAAGGCCAAGGGAAGTCAAAGGGCAAGCAGAATTCCGGGAAATCCAAGGGCAAGGTCCAATGGCTCACGGAGATTCAACGGGATGGTGGTTTCAAGCAACTCTGCATGCGATATCAGGTGGGCAAGTGTCAGACTCCCAACTGTGGCTTTCAGCATTTGTGTGCGTACCCAGTTGATGGAAAAGCTTGTGGCAAAAATCATGGGGCGATGTCCCATTTTGCCACCCCGCACTGACTCCCCAAAGGGGATAGTGACCCAGGTTTCACCATGCATGATCCATTCAATGAGATTGACTCCGTGGAGACTCTCCCAGTGCATGAAGCGGACCCAGTTCAAGACTTTGCTCCACCTAGTGATAGTTTTACCCGGGGCCGTTTGTCCCAACCCGAGCAGGCGAATGCGGAAACAGATATCACGGCCACCGTCCCCGTCACAGCGGAATCCTTGGTTTCCTCTACGTCATTTCCACCAACCATTTCAACTTCAATTTTAAAAACAGTTCCCTCAGGCAAATTTTTTCTCGATGTTTGTTCAGGTGTTACACGTCCGTTATCGACAGCTGTATTGGAGCATGGCCACTCAGTTCTTTCTTTTGATGTTTTATTGGATTCGTCTATGGATATTTTATCAGATGCGGCCTATGAGGATTTGTTGCGTGTCGCATCAAGTGGTCAGGTTGGTTATGGAGCGGCCAGCCCTTCCTGCTGTGAATATAGCAGACTCAAACTTCGAGATGATGATGGTCCCAAGGCTCTACGATCACCAGAGCACTTGTCCGGTCTGCCCAATCTCACACCCTGGGAACTGCAACGTGTACAAGAGAGCTTTATGATGCTCTCTCGCTGTGTCGAGGTCCTCACCCTGGTTTTTCAAGCAGGCGGGCACGTCCATCTTGAACAACCCTTGAACGCTATGTCATGGTTAGAGAAGGTAGTACGCCAATTTCTGCAATTGATTGGGGCTTCCTGTATCAACGTGGCAGCTTGCGCTTATGAGATGGATGTTTACAAAGCCTGGATGTTTGCCTCGAGTTTTACAGGTCTTCGACCATTAGGCTGCATTTGTCAACATCCCCCTAATTCTCATGTTCGCCTTCAAGGTCTCCGAGACGATTCTGGTGCTTTTGCCAGTCGGGCGACGGCACAATACCCACAGAAACTGGCACAATTATTTGCCAACCTCGTGGCCCCATTACTGGACACATCAGCGTTGGACCTACAATGGTCATCTTTGGATGCCCTCATGCCAACCAAGCACCTGTCAGAGTATCCATTTGCGCAAGTCGATGGGGGTGGAGCTTTTTCCCACCCGGACTGGAGTCAGGATAATCGTCAAGAACACGACTGGTTCAAGATGCTCCGCACTTCGTGGATGAACAGGATCATCTCTGAGCGATTGGATAAGATCCTACTTGCGCATGTGGCGTCGGGCAACCCTTCACCTCCTTTTTCGATGGAAACTCTGACTCCATTCAAGGATGATCTGGAGAAATTCTTGGAGGCACATGGACATACACCAGATTGGTCAGTTCGACAACATCAACCAATACATCTTCATATTTTACATTCTTTACAAAGGATTATGCATGACGTCGATTTTACATTATTACCCAGTTTATTGGAAGGTGTTCGAACTGGTTTTTCCGAGGCAATTCCTCCGTCGGGTATTTTTCCACCCAAAGACCGTACGGATATAGAACCCGATCCATTGTCAGCTCACCTCTCCAACTGGCAGAGTGCTGAAGAAGATCTACCATTAACCCGAGAACTGGTTCAGGAAGAAATTGATAAGGGATGGGTTTTTTCATATCAAGGTTCTTTGGAAGAAGCACAACAAGAATATCCGGCCGGAGTTGCTATTGGAAAATTGGGAGTGGCTCGCTCCGATAGTCGAGCCCCCCGATTAGTTGTAGACTCCAGCGTATGCGGCCTCAACGGTCGGTGTATCATACCGGAGAGGTCCACCCTCCCGACTGCCAAGGAGGTGTTACGTAGCTACCCTCTACGTCAGTGTCAGAGGAATCTAATGGGCTTTTCTTTAGACGTTAAGGCTGCTCATAAAAGAATAGTTCTACATCCGGACGAATGCGGATTGGTAGGCTTTTCGTTAGAAGGACAGCTCTTCTTCTATAGAGTTACCCCATTTGGTGCAGTTTTCTCTGCCTTTTGGTGGGCGAGATTGGGTGAACTCCTTCTCCGTATATTTCACCACTTGATCTGGTTGAGTCACGCGGGATTTCTATATGTGGATGACTTCTTATTCTTTATGGAAGCCAACATGATGCCGCTGTCAGCCACATTGTTGTGTATTTTTTGCCAGCTTTTGGAAATTCCTATCAGCTGGAAGAAGACGGCCATGCACTCTTCCATTGACTATATTGGCTGGAAATTCAATTTCAATGCAGGTATCGTGACAATCCCCATTGAAAAGATCCTCAAACTCCGAGGATACATCGAACATCTTATTTCCCAGCCACGAACTACTCGCAAGTCTTTGGAGAAACTTATTGGCCTGGCAATGTGGATTACTCAATTATTTCCCCTCATGCGGATCTGGATCCACTATTGGTACCACGACCTCTACACCATCCCGGCGACACATTTCAGTATTGATGCTGGTACATGGCCTCGCATTCATCAATATTTAACACCTAATTTGACTTTTCATACAGCACCTTTAGGCTCCGCTATACCTATTTCAGGCAAGCTCATTGCAGTTCGACATCAAGCGGTATCCTCATTGGCGGATCTGACATCGTTACATATCAAAACTGATAACAGGATTTGGCTAAGGATTATCAATCCGAATTCCTCCAAACGCAAGCTTCGTCCTGATTCTCTTCGCATTTTGAAGTTATTTGAACATTGGCTGATGGGTGTCTCTCCATCTCGACCAATGAGAGCGAAGCCATACTGGAATGGCGTTGCGGCAGCCGATGCATGTGCATCGGGTTCCTATTGCCAAATTGGAGGTTTCATCCGTCATCCTTCAGGAGTTCAATTTTGGTTTTCTGAGAAATTTTCCCATGCTGATTTTGACATTTTGTCAATTCATTTAGACCCAAATATGCAACGAAGCATTGCTTCATTTGAAACTTTAGCTCAAATTGCGTTAGTTTGGCTGGTGGCCACATCTTTTCCTGGTTTTCGTATTCCCATTTGCGTGAAATCTTTGAGCGACAATACGGGAGCAGAGAGCGTGAGCAACAAATTATTCACTACGACTCATCCTCTATGTCTCTTTGTCGAGATCCTCACGTGCCTGGCTTCGACAACGGGTATTGAATTGGATGTGAGCCATATTCCTGGCGCGGACAATGTCATAGCGGATGATCTGAGCCGATGGGACTTTTCCACTCCCATCCCACATGATTTTCAACCAAGTGAAAGGATTCATCTTTCACTCAATCAACTATTTCGTTGTTCACCTCACCCAACATTGCATCCTCCTGATTCAAAACTCCTTTGGAAACTCCCACATCCTCTTGCGATGTGATCTGCTGGAATGGTTCTCACTTCTGGTTTGGGCGTGCTTGGGCGATAACCATTATACCAGATAGTTGTTGTTTGGGTTGTTGATGCCATCTGGTCGAATGGTTTCGATTGAAGTGTGGTCGAATCCAAACTGGATCCAACAGTGGGACAAACCATCCAGCAGATGAAAAGGGAGTGCGTTCTGAGATCGGAAGCGAGACATGGTCAAGCGGGAGGATTGAAGTTTCAGTTGTTTTTTGTGTTTTGGTTTGTTTGCGTTTTCTTTGCGGTTTCTAGATCTTGTCTCGAACAAATGAAAGTCCTTGAAGAACGTTTAATGTACTTGTTCATTGTGTTTTGCAAGGAACTTCTTTGTGTTTCTATTCCATTTTGGCTCAAGGACTTTCATTTGTGCGTATACATTTTTCGTTTCCCTCCCTCCCTCACCTTGTTCTCGATTCTCTATCAATATTGCATCAAAGGGTCGATCTCGCTGTTTCACCCAGTTTCTCTTATTGCTGCTCCGAAGTTTGTTTCATCTATAAAGCCTTTGTGCTCCTGGTTCTTTACAGTGCGTTGCACTTCAAAGCCGAGTGACGTGATGTCACGTTCAGTATTGTGATTGCATCTATGACAATGCACAATCGTGCATCGGTGATGTCATCTCACCCGAATGGGTTGTTGATGCCATCTGGTCAAATGGTTTCGATTGAAGTATGGTCGAATCCAAACTGGATCCAACAGTGGGACAAACCATCCAGCAGATGAAAAAGGGAGTGCGTTCTGAGATCGGAAGCGAGACATGGTCAAGCGGGAGGATTGAAGTTTCAGTTGTTTTTTGTGGTTTGGTTTGTTTGCGTTTTCTTTGCGGTTTCTAGATCTTGTCTCAAACAAATGAAAGTCCTTGAAGAACGTTTTGGTTTCAACAGAAGCTTTGTGGCTTATGGCGACCGGAAAGGCAACTAGGGAGGCCCTTTTGAGCGAAGCCGGTTTTGAGAAAGTTTTCCGGACGCAGAATTGGGTCCGTCGGAGCAAGTTGTTTTGTAGATGATTTTGTTCCTTGTTGGGGCAAGCGGGGTGCATATCCGTTGCTGCTTGAACCCGGTGGATTAGATTCTTATTATTTGGTGTCGTCTGGTGGCTTGATTGTTTGCTGCCAAAATAAGGCCCATCAGCCTTTTGCAGCGTTAGTTGATTGCTTGAGGTGTTTCTTGTTGTTGCGGAGTTTGCGGGTTTTCGCGCAGGTGGCCGGCTTCCATTTGGATGATTGTATTGAATACTTTACTGCCCCTTGTTGGCCCCCCTTGCCCCCTGTAGACTCCTACCGAAGTTTTCAGCCCGGACAGAAGATGAATCATGATCTTTCAGTCAATCCCGTTATTAAGGTGCATCTCCCTGCAAGGGATAAAACTGTCTTTACTTGTTTTCACAGTGCCACCCTAGGCACGGAAGCGAAAATCAGAACCTCACACTGACGTTCTTCCTGGTGTCAACAAACAAACTGTTGAACTCCGTTTTGGAAACAATCTTTATACCTTTGATTGACCTGCTCTTGAATCTCCAAAGAGAAACATGTCAATCTTCATACAGGTTACTCAGAATGTCTCCTTCAGTCGTAGACGGTGTCTTGTTAAATTCTGGAATCTATATTTTTAACATCCATATGATGCTAAAATAAACAACACATAATCTTGTGTCCTAAAAGAACCTGAACAAACAAATGCATGTTTGAGACCCTGTTTTAATCTTGGACATTTTTCTATTTCATTCCGTGCAGCTCTGGCTGGGCGGGTTGGAGGGTTTAGAAATTTTTTCTAGCCCCATGCTGCGTGAGAGTCGGGGGTAGCAATGGACGTACAGTTGGACTGCGAAAGAGCCAGCTTTTCTGATGCTCAACTGGAAGACTCGGAAGGGTCCAACCCTCGAAGCAGTGTGGCACCTTTTGAAGCCAGAGCCCAAAGCGACATGCTCTCCAGAATGCATCCTGTACTTTTTGATGCTTGGTTACGTTTGCAGAGATCCATGGTTTCATCACCTTCAAGAACGCCTTTGGTTGACATTTTGTCACCCTCTTGGATCAAGACTGACAAATGGCTTGTTCCAATAACAGTTATGCCGCAGGACGCTGATAGTGCTTTGAAAGCTGCTGGATTGGCTATACGAAGATGGCAGCCGACCGACTGAGACACACTCAGCTTGTTAAAACTGATGATCGCGTGCACTGGGAAGCAATGAAGAAGTTCAAGGCGCTGCTCCTAGGTGATCCAGCTGCTACAAAGCTTGGACGTTACCTTGCAGCAGGTGTCAGCCTTTTGACAGATGAGGCTGGCTGGTCTCAGTTTATCAACGATGCATTTGCCGGGATAGAGGTGGCCACTCTTGCTAAAAGGGCCACCACCCTATGGAGGTTCCACAACTGGAGCATTGACAATGGCTTGGGACCTGCGGTTTGTGCAACAGAGAGTGTCATTTACAGATACTTGCAATTTTTGAAGGAATGTGGATCCCCTGCAACTGGTTCGTCTTTCCTCCAAGCCTGGACTTTCCTGCATGACCACGCGGGTCTTCTGAGTCAGGGCTTGGATGTGTTGTCTTCGAGAGTGAGGGGAGCGGCACAGGCCCTGTGTCCGCTAAAGAAGCCCCTCAAGCAGGCATACCCACTGACGGTGCTGATGATTGTAGCCTTGGAAAACATGACCAACCTTGCGCCCTATGACCATTGGCGCATCATTGCAGGACATATGATGTTGTGCTTGGGCAGCCGCACCAGGTTCAGGGACTCCATGAGGTTGGTTTCATTGAGTGTCAACAGCCACAATGGTTTCCAGATAGTAGAGGCTGAGTCCATGTCTTGCAAGGCAGCGAAACAAGACAGGCAGGATAAGCTTTTGCCTCTGATTGGGCTTGGAAATTTTTTTGCCAAGACGCCGTGTGTAGAGCCATGGATGGACTTGAGAGTAAAACAAGGTCTTGGCTTGGATCCGGCGTTGCCAGCCTGGAGTGAAATCTCGCAATCGTGGTTGAGAAGACGTATGACTACAGGTGAGGCACAGCTGTTCCTAAAGGAGTTCATGGCATCATCAGGTTTCAAAGAGGATGAGTTGGAAAGGATCGGGTGCCAATCCTTAGAACACACCCTTCCTTTGTGGGCCTTCGAAGGGGCCTACTTGTCAGAACAATGCAATCCTTTGTTGAGCCGCCACAAGTCCAAGGAGAACCAGTCGGATCCTATGTACTCCAGGGTTGAAACGGTGCGTGTCACTGCTATCATGCATCAGATGGTCAGAGACGTGAAGAACAAGCACTTCAAGCCAGATGCTTCCAGAGCTGGATGCATTGCAGACCAAGTTAAACTTACAGATTCAGAGTGTCAGCAAACCGATTCGAGCGATGACGAAGCTCGCCAAGAGGACGTGGAGAGCACTCCATGCAACATGGGCCCAAGGGCATCTTGGGATGCTCTGCCGTTGGACGAGCTAAGAAGGCTAAAGGTCCATACCTTCTCTGGGGTTGCCCACATCGTTTCGAAGCACGACCCCCACAAGTTTGTGTGTGGAAAGAGAAACACAAAGAACTATGGACGCATCCCAGAGGACTCGAACTATGCCGACATGCCAATGTGCATGCAGTGCCGCCGGTGAGATGTGCGAAATATGCCAACGCAGCGAAAGTAGGAAGGCCTTAAAGCACTCAAATTTCCTGTGTTTTTGACCATGCAACCATAGCATGACATGGCCCACCAGAGCGGCACATCAAGCGGTTTACCACCGCCAACAGTGCATGGCTCAAGCAAGGGTTGAGTGAAAAAGGGCCATTTCCAACTCAAAGTCAAAATAAAATGCTACAACAGGATCCATCATGTTAATGCTCACTGCCCTTTTTGTTTCCACATATGTTTTCTGATTAACCATTTTTATAAAACTGAAGGGCTTTCAAACCGACACCAGTGAGTTCCCGTTTTCGAATTGCACACGTTTTTGACAAATGGCGCCTTTCTGGTGTGAGCTCTGGAATTATGAAATATTTGGGCTGGAAACAGTTTTTCCTCTTAGCAAGGCGCTGCCTTGCAGTCACTGTGGACTGGGCAGAGTACCGCGCCGAGTCAACTTGTAGCACAAACAGGACCGCTTCATCAGAGAAATGGTCAAGCTCAGAAGACTGACAGTCCTTCCTTCAAAGCGCGAGGCGTCCCGAGTTAAAAAAGAGGTGTGCCGATGGGAAAACACAAGCCCACCTTGAATCAGCATGTTGCACATCAGAAAACAAGACATCAGGCTCGGCATGACTCCATTAGGCGGAACCAGGACCTCTGAATCCTGGCATCTGGAACCATCACCACGCCATCTTTGCGGAGTGTATGCCATGCCAGGCTCAAGCAAAAACACAACAAGAGCAGCTGTGATGAGTCATGCGTGAGTCACGCAATCTAAAGAAGGAATCAACAAAGCTTTCAACTACAAAATATGATTTTCAAAATTTTTCTTGAAAATCAAATCTACACTAAATCATGAAGGGTAAAATTTGGGTGCAGAAAAAACTTAGTATACTTAGATTCGCTGACTGCCATACCCATGTCAACAGGATTAGAGTCGGAGGCAGCATTCAGGGCGAGGGCCACTGAGATTGGTTTGCCAGATGACGCTATAGACCGTTTGAAAGATGGTGGAGTGAGAAGCTTTGGGGCATATGCCTTCATCACAAGCTATCAGCCGGGTCAAGCAGATGAAGCCCCGCTGATCACCGCCTTGACAGACACCATGGGCCGTGCGCCAACAAATGCAGAGACCATTGCCTTGAGAAGGTTGTTTTTCGAATCTTCCACCTTAGCTGTGAATGAGTTCAAGCAACGTTCAGAAAGAGACGAGACTGCCGAACCATCCAAGATGCCGATAGCAGAACGCAATGCCAGACTGGAGGATCAGAAAAAGAGGCTGCCAGGCCTGCACTTTAGCCCAGAGACCGAGCCCAGTCACAAATTGGTGGACACTGTATGCCAGATGGCCACTGACCAAACCCTGGAAT